AGGAGTAGCAGACACACCGCAGCCACTCATCCTCAGATGACCTGCAGTTTGACAAGAAGCTCTGCCAAATAGAAAGCCCTGAGCAGGAGCAGTGCCCTCGCACATATGAGGCTGTGGCACTGGCTCCATGGCACAGGAGTGTGACTTCGTCTGACACAGCTGAGTCGGCACTTAGCAGGCCGCCGTGAAAGGGCCGTGGCTCTGGCTCAAGGTAAGATAGGATGAAAATAAAAAATACAGTCCAGTATCAATAATCTTCATTCTGCATAAAGTGTGTTCAGGAGGGCACACTTAGGGACCAACTTTGTCTCTCAGATGACGGCTCACTGTGACCCTGTGGTCCACTACCCTCGGTGCCTCTGCGTGATTTGTGGCTCCTGGGGTCTGCTGTATTGGCCACAAATCAAGTCAGAAAGTGGGGGATTTGTTAGATGCCATCAATTTTTACACTTCAAACAAGCCACAGCTCACAGATTACACCTTCACTGACTTATCTCCACCTCTGACCAGACTGGAGCTGACATGCGTCCATTACAAACATCCCCCAAGTTGCCTGTCATTGACTCCAGTGAACTCTAAAGATGAATATCACACATAAAAATCAGCTGGTACAAATCAGCAACTTTCTACAGAAGAGTTACACAACCATACATGATATCCCATCGCATGGTCAGCGCGAGACAGAAGCAGTCTTATCACACCAGCAGGGTCATTACAGCAGCAGATCAAAAGCCGGCGCAGCTGTGGCCGAGACACATGTGTGGTCCAGACTTGAAGAGAGAAAGCCATGTGACGCAATGCAGCTAAAGGTGCCATGGTAGCAGTGGTGGAAGTAGTATTGACACCCTGAACTTAAGTAAAAACATCAAAACCTCACCTAAAATGTTTTACATTCAAGTACTGCATTCAAATCATTACTTAAAGTTCAAGTGTGTTAGCATTATCTTGAAAAATGTGTAATATAAGGTTCACTGTCAGTGTGTTACTGTAATATAAATGATGTTTTTGCATTATATTTCCCCTAAACTATGGGATTGGTGCATTTTATTCCTGTAGATGTTTATGGTTGAACTAATTTGAACCCCTTTATATACTATAAACTACAGCATCATATGCTATAAGATCATCATAGTAGCGTTACTGTCGTGCAAGAACCACTCACTCTAAAAAGTCAAATGTCGGCTTGAGCTGCCCGCTGATGTTTAATCAATCTTCAAACAGTTTGCAATTCACTGTCGATCGAATTACGTTTTCATTTCAACTCAACAGATTATATTTCTGATGTGGCAAAAAAGGCTGCAGCTCATTTAAATCTGAGAGTAAACAATCTTTTAGTAGAAATTAGCGACAGAAACAGACAGATCAGACTGTCAAATGTGACAGATTGCATTTTTAACAGCCATTTAATTCTGATTGTGATGCAAAACGAGTTGGGTTGAAATGTCCAGGCTTGTTCCCCACCTGAGCAAAATCTCGTTTTCTAACTAACTCGCTTGTAAACTAATGCAACGCTGAAAAGAAGATGTTCATGTTGATTAAAAGATGAAAAAGATTTAAAGGAAAGTGAGGCAGGGTGGTGCAACCTGACCAACAGGTCCGCTTAATTTACATGATGGCATATTTTCACGTCAGTAACGCACAAAAACTGATTTAATCAACTTTTTGAACATTAGTTTTGTCATTGTAATGTTTTCTTTTTGTTAATGTTATTAGGGTATATCCTAATTGTTTTGGAACGTACTAACGATTGCTTATTACAAATATGTAAAGTAAATAGTTGTTCTTGCTTAACTACAGCAATGCATCATATTCTATAAGATCATCATTGTAGCATTACTGTCGTGCAAGAACCACTCACTCTAAAAAGTCAAATGTCATGAGCTCAGACTTATTTTTTGGTTTGTGAAAATGCATATTGCAGCTGATTTAAGTAGTTAGTTTATTTAGTTAAATAAGTAAGATGATATTCTCAAAATAAAAGGAGCACTTAATGGAGATCTTTCAGTTGATGGCAAACATTTGAAATCCACACATCTGGAGGAACATTGTTTTCCATGGTGCAGGAGGGGGATGAAAAACTGTAAACTGAAAGTAAGTAAAGGTGTCAGGCAGATGTATTGGAGGAAGAATAACGTATGAAAAAGTAGACTATAATGGAAATCCTATAGTACCTCTAATGTGTACTCAAGTACGGTAATTTAGTAAATCTACTAGTATTTTTCCACTACTGCAATTAACTATTGGATCTGGAAAAAGATATGACACAAAATATAAGCATGTGCCGTGATTCATGGTCCGACATTTAATATATTTCACTTTTATTTGGAAAGTAAATCCTCACTCCCAGCTGATAATCATCCTCCCACCCCCGTAAAACTGAGCTGAGGATCAGCAGCAGGATTTTATCTTGGCACCTATAAAGGCTCCGATTAACAAGTGAGGAGGTCTTCTGAAGATATCCAAGACGATGGTCTAATCTGACCATCTGTTTCTTATCTACTCACCTTTATTTTTTAAATTTGCTAATTTATTTGTCTTAGAGATATCGGGATTGCAAGCAGCAGGCATCCAATCCTCTCCCCGGGGAATGAGGTAGAGGTGGGACCCACCTGGAGTGTGTGTGTGTGTGTGTGTGTGTGTGTGTGTGTGTGTGTGTGTGTGTGTGTGTGTGTGTGTGTGTGTGTGTGTGTGTGTGTGTGTGTTTGTGTGATAGCTTGTGTGTGAGTGCTTGTTTGTGAGTGTGTGTGTGTGTGTGTGTGTGTGTGTGTGTGTGTGTGTGTGTGTGTGTGTGTGTGTGTGTGTGTGTGTATGTGTGTGTGTTTGTGTGATAGCTTGTGTGTGAGTGCTTGTTTGTGAGTGTGTGAGTGTGTGAGTGTGAGTGTGTGTGTGTGTGTGTGTGTGTGTGTGTGTGTGTGTGTGTGTGTGTGTGTGTGTGTGTGTGTGTGTGTGTGTTTGTGTGAGTTCTTGGGTGGGGTTTTCTAAGATCAAGGATCAAGCACAAGCCGAATAAGCATGTTGCATTTTCTTTTTTCAGAACCAATTTGAGAGGGATCTCCACAATCTTTTGACACACAAATACAAAATCATGTGAACAGATGAAGTGCAGCCAAAGTCAAGACAAAGCTGGGCTCCATTATTATTATTAAAAGAAGAAGAACAAATTATTTGCCTTGTTAGACTCATACACTGGTTTATAAGGACAGCACAATAACCAGTCAGGCTGATAAAATGTGATCCAGATATTCCTTCATAACACTTTACGGTGTAATAATCCATTGTGAGAGTTACTGAGTATCTCCCTGTTATCCCCACTAGGAGGCCACATTAAATAAATCTTACTTACTGCTGTAAATAATGTTCACTTATCAGATTTGTCCACCCTTTGTTTCAATAAAGGTTATTCATTTGAGCTGCTATAAATATGCTGTGTATCTGTCTTTTTCTTTTGGATGAAGTATTTTAACTAATGTATAATTGATTTGGTGTTGATTTTCATTTATATAAAATCGTCTACATAGCCTATAGGCCTATGTACATTACATGTGTATGTGTAGATGAATACATGTGTTATGTCTGTAAATGATATAGTTGTATGTGATTTTGATGAAGGATTATATTCTCTCTTGGTTTGTTTTTTAAATTAACAGAAAAACAAAAAACATTTAACAAAAATCTTAACTGTAGGCCTACCTATTTGTTGTAGTGGTGAGTTTTACAGGTGATTAAAATATATTATATAACTTTCTCTTATTAAAATGTGCACTGCATTAACTCCTTATTTGATGCAATCAGAAGTTAAATGTTTTAACCAGCAGGCTCAATGAAAAGGATTTAGAAATAGACATTGTTAGCACAGCGATGGTGTCAACGTTTCCTTTTGTTTTTGTTACGAACCGGTGCGTTTGCTTGCCCTTTTATCATGGTAATAAATCCCCAGACTTGAGAATTGAATTCACACATGCCGGCTTGAGCTGCCCGCTGATGTTTAATCAATCTTCAAACAGTTTGCAATTCACTGTCGATCGAATTACGTTTTCATTTCAACTCAACAGATTATATTTCTGATGTGGCAAAAAAGGCTGCAGCTCATTTAAATCTGAGAGTAAACGATCTTTTAGTAGAAATTAGCGACAGAAACAGACAGATCAGACTGTCAAATGTGACAGATTGCATTTTTAACAGCCATTTAATTCTGATTGTGATGCAAAACGAGTTGGGTTGAAATGTCCAGGCTTGTTCCCCACCTGAGCAAAATCTCGTTTTCTAACTAACTCGCTTGTAAACTAATGCAACGCTGAAAAGAAGATTTTCATGTTGATTAAAAGATTTAAAAGATTTAAAGGAAAGTGAGGCAGGGTGGTGCAACCTGACCAACAGGTCCGCTTAATTTACATGATGGCATATTTTCACGTCAGTAACGCACAAAAACTGATTTAATCAACTTTTTGAACATTAGTTTTGTCATTGTAATGTTTTCTTTTTGTTAATGTTATTAGGGTATATCCTAATTGTTTTTACTGGAACGTACTAACGATTGCTTATTACAAATATGTAAATTAAATAGTTGTTCTTCCTTACAAAATCTGAAGTTAATTTGTTAAAAAGCACAATTAAACTTAAATGACTGATTATATTGATTAACTGATGATCGATTGATCGATTTGTCGATTGATTTCCCTTCGACCAGACCTCAGGTGGGATCGACACGTTCATGATTTTGCGAATTTGTATTTATTTAATCGGGTCATGTATTTGGCTTAGCGTGCAAATTCCTCAAATATGATTATTAGTAATTTTGCATACTATAAAAACATTTGTAATGAAGGTTTGGTCAGGGGAGCGTATCGGGGCTCCAGAAGAGGTGGAGGAGGGGGAGGGCTGACTGAGAGATGTTTTACTAGGGGAGAAGGAGGGGGGTCGTCCTGGGAGGGAACCAGGGGTGTGGAGGGCCGAGTTTAAAAAGGCAGACAGCAGCCAGCAGTCACTCACTCTCTCACTCAGTCTCCTCCAGCAGCAGCTCTGCGGCTCCTCGGTGATCCTCTGAGTTTTGATTCACCTCAAAGAACTTTGGAACTTTACTGGACTCTACGTTTTTATTTTCTGAAAACAAAGGATTTTTTCTTCCAGCATGGAGATCACCACTGCGGAATATGTTGACAATTATGACTATTATGATGACAATGAGACTGCCTGTGACTTCTCAGAGTGGGAGCCATCTTACTCCCTCATCCCGGTGCTCTACATGCTCATCTTCATCCTGGGCCTGTCAGGTAACGGCGTGGTCATCTTCACTGTCTGGAGAACCAAGTCTAAGCGGCGTGCTGCAGATGTCTACATAGGAAACCTGGCCATCGCTGACCTCACCTTTGTTATCACCTTGCCTCTCTGGGCCGTGTACACTGCGCTGGGCTACCACTGGCCCTTTGGTGTGGCTCTGTGCAAAATCAGCAGCTATGTTGTTCTGGTCAACATGTACGCCAGCGTCTTCTGCCTCACCTGCCTGAGCTTTGACCGATACCTGGCCATCGTGCACTCCCTGTCCAGCAGCAGGCTGCGCTCTCGAGGGACTATGCTGGCGTCCTTGGGGGCCATTTGGTTCCTGTCCGGCGTGCTGGCCGTGCCCACACTGCTCTTCCGCACCACTGTGAACGACCTGAGCAGCAACAGGACCACGTGCGCCATGGACTTCAGCCTGGTGACCATGAACCAGAGGCACGACTACCTGTGGATCGCCGGGCTCAGTCTCTCCTCCTCTGCTCTGGGTTTTCTCCTACCCTTTTTGGCCATGACCATCTTCTACTGCTTCATCGGCTGCACCGTCACACGCCACTTCAACAACCTGCGCAAGGAGGACCAGAAGAAGAAGAGGCTGCTGAAGATTATCACCACACTGGTGGTGGTGTTTGCCTTCTGCTGGACTCCCTTCCACGTGCTGAAGAGCATGGACGCCCTCTCCTACCTGAACCTGGCTCCCAGCTCCTGTGGCTTCCTGCGCTTCCTGCTGCTCGCTCATCCCTACGCCACCTGCCTGGCCTACGTCAACAGCTGCCTCAACCCCTTCCTGTACGCCTTCTTTGACCTGCGCTTTCGTTCTCAGTGTCTGTGCCTGTTCAACCTGAAGAAGGCTATGCATGGCCACATGAGCTCCATGTCCTCTACGCTCAGCGCCCAGACTCTGAAGTCAGAGATTCAGTCTCTGGCCACCAAGGTGTAGAGGGGGAAAAAGAAAGGTGGAGCAGGGCTCCAACCACTGGAACACTTGTTGAAAAAAACACTTTACGTGTCCGTTGTTTAAAGCTGGGAAGCTGAGATGATGAACTTTCACCGCTCACAGTCATGAAATCCATAATATGTTCCTCCTATTCTACAGCCAGAGATGTGGAGGCTCTGTATGTCGTGTGGACATGAAGCCGGGGCCAGCGGGCTGCGCTCCTTCGCTGCTTTGTTCCTCAAGTTCTCAGAGAAAAAAGAACAACATTTTTTGTTTTGTCCTGCTCTGTAAAAGTTCTAATTTCTATCATGAAAAGAGGGCATAGTTATGATTTTAGAAACACACACTGTTGTTGGGAACTGTATATCAATTTAAAACCTGTTTACACTGGATGAAACATAAAGCTGTACAGTATTTTCATACCATAGCATTTTCTTTCTTGTTCAGATCTATTGCTGTTTTGTTTTAGAAGCACTTGTTAAAAAAGACGTGTGAGCAGGGAAATCAAACAGAGCAGTGTCCTCTTGTTGTTTGTGAAGGTAGAAGTCTGCAGGAGGGAGGGGGGGTGTAAGAGGAGAGAAGGTGTTTCGGCTTAATTATATAGTTTGTTGAGAGGAGACGGGGGGCAGACAGGCAGATGGCAGTTGACAAATGTTGTTGGGGAACAGGAACGGGGCGGGGTGGGTGGAGGGGTTTCGCAGTGTAGTCACAGCACTAAAAGGGGACAAAGGAACTCTGTAAATAAATGAAATCCAGTTTGATGTATATGTTTTATTTTTCGACATCACTGTAACTAACTACTGTAATAAAAATGTGTTCTATGAACCAGATCTCTCAGACTCATTGAGTGTGTGGAAACAAAAGTTCTTCATTTGTTGACATTTTAAAAAGGTCATTTTAAATGTGGAGAGGAGAACGTTTTACAGTAATACTAAAGTCAATAATTGTACAAAACGGGTTCTTTTTTTAATTTAAAATCCTGTGGTTTCCCATCAGTTTCATTACACCATCCTGTTATTTCAGTGTTAAGTATCTCCAGAGCGTTAAAGCTTTGTTATGAATGCCTTTGCATTTGGTTTACACCTTCAGACTAATAGATCTCTAATCTCTATTGATTCACAGCCAGTATCCAGACTGTAACCGGATTAGGCAAAGTGATTTTCATCCTGAGATGTGTATTCGATACTCAGATGTGAATCAACTGTGGCACTTTAACTATTTGATGACACAGTCTTGTGGGTAACAATCAAAGGTTTTTGAATTTGAAAGTGTTTTTATGTGTAACAAGTAGGAGGAGGAGGCACAACATATTTTGAGGGATGTGTTTTAGTCAACTCCACTTTAAAGTACTTTCATGTAAAACAATGTCACAAAAAGACTCTTTATCCACAGGAGGTAAAGCCAACCAAAACCACACATGTTCACTGAATAATAGGGTCATTACCAATGAGTGACTCTTCTGAGGGATCCTTTGATTTGACAGTAATGAGCTCTGTTGGACGTAATCACCGTTTAGAAATGGCGGTGGCGGGGGGAAGTGGGGCTCTAATCTTGGCAGAAGTTAGTCCAACGAACAAGTCAATATTTGTCCCCACTGACAAGTGGTCGCAGTTAGAGCGGTGGTGAGGGTGCGGGCGGGGCTGGGAAGCGGAGGTGGGGGTGATGGGGGATGAGCATTTGACTGCAGATGCCTCAACAGAAAATAAAAGAGGAAAAATAGTGAACGAGGTGAGGAAGTTTGGGGAAAAAAAGCCAAAGCTATAGACGAGTTCATCTGTCATCATGTTTTAAAGTAACAACATGTGTGAAACAGTGAGAACCTGAAGATGCATTATTCATCTGGTCTTTGTGTGTAAGAGATCATATGTTACTTATTGTCCATCCTTGCAAAACGCAGCATATTTGACAGCAGATCACACGATGGTCACTGTGATGGATGTGTGCGGAGGCCTAAGTTTGTACATCACACAAAGACAGACTCACGATTGCATAAACACACACCGTTATTCTTCAAAGTGGAATCAGGTGCCATTTGGAAGGATTTATAAGTGGACAGTCCATAACACATTCTTTAACAGCACCATTATAAGGACCAAAAAGCATCTGGTTCATCTTTAAACATACCAGTGAGTGAAATCAGGGTGGAGTCAATCATGCATGCAACACTGGACAGACTTGTTGTTGTTATTGAGATGAGTTGGGCTGACAGCTTGTCTCATGCTGTTAGCCAGCGAAGTCCACTTTGGGATAACTCACCCAGAATACCAGCTGAGCAAAGCACCGGGGGTGCACGGGGGAGACCGCCAGCACAAAAACAACAGTTGTGAAGGCATCTGAACGCATATAAATGTTGGTGGTGATCGTGTGTGGCCTGTGTGACCTGTTTGCGTGTATGGATGTTTGGGTGTGTGTGTTTTTACAGTTCTTTTAAAGTATTCTTAGAGGGAGTTCAACCATGTTCAACCCATTGTGCCCCTTAAAAAATATTATTATTTTTCTCATTAACAGAGCAGAACATGAACACAGCATTTAAAACTTGGCTGTGACTCTTTGTTTTGTGACAAATACATTGCAGCATACAAATGGAACAAGCTCCAAAAAAAAGTGAAGTTACACTCTCTTATCTTGTTGGACATCTTATACGTTTATACTGTGTTTGCAACCACACTTGTAAATACTTTTTGTAATGGTTAACATATTCAATAATGTTGCTGTTGTCAAGAGCTGTGCTGCTAAATATTGAATCTGTAAGAACTGGTCTCAACTATGTATTATTTTTAATTATCAAAATAATTTCCTTAAAGTCTGTGCACTGTAGCTTTTAGAAAACACAACTCATAAAGGAGTGAATAGTGCATTTGTAGGGAATTTGTTTTTATAGTGAATATAACAACTGTGTATGGTTTTGATTAAAATGAAACTATATTGCACATGTTCAAGTTAATAAAGAAGCATGTCAGCTAGTGTACAGTAGGCAGGTTTCCATCCAAAACTGATCGTAAAATGTAATCTTTTCAACCTCAGCCAAGTGTACAAAGCTCTTTGCGAAAGTTCAACATTTCTTAGAATTTCAGCATTTCCACACGGAAATGTAAATGCCCATAAAAACAGGTCAATTGGAACTCATCTAGAGTGGCTCTCTGATTTGTTTTAATAACTTGAGAGTCGTCCACCATGAACAGAATGTGCTGCCTATGTCAACAAAGCTTTATCAGGCTTTTTTTCTACGAACAAAACATATGATCCATTATATTTTGTGTGTAGATTTGTAGATTATAAGTAAAGTATAGAATATATCCAGACTTATTTAACTGGTTGCGCCATCACTCTGCATGACTAGTCTTAGTGAAACACATTAAAGCAGCAGACGCAGGTGCTCGCTCCCAGTGTTGTCGTCAGTGTGAGCTGCCACACCCAAATGGGACATCTGAACCAAAACACAACTGCTCGCCTCCCCTCAGATCTCCCTGCTGTTCCATCCCACCCAAGCAGCAACAAATGTACTCCGCAGTGTGTGTGTCTGTGTGTGTGTGTGTGTGTGTGTGTGTGTGTGTGTGTGTGTGTGTGTGTGTGTGTGTGTGTGTGTGTGTGTCCATATGCACTTGTAAACAGACATATGACACATTCTGTGCGCTGTCAACGCTAACCCTACTTTCTCTGTAGCTTTCGTCCACCTGTTACTCAACCATAACACATACAAACGCCTGCGCACACACACACACACACACACACACACACACACACACACACACACACACACACACACACACACACACACACACACACACACACACACACACACACACACACACACACACACACACACACACACACACACACACACACACACACACACACACACACACACTCCTAACACTAACAGCATTATCTCGGGGTGTATCAAAAAAGCGGTAGTTAGGTAGAGTATCTCTCCTTACAATCCAACCATTATTTGGTTTAACACAGAGCAGAGTTAGTACGGGAAGATGTAGGGGGGGTGAAGGGGCGTCGAATGGGGTGGAAGCACAACCCAAAACCTTTGCAAGATCAAAAGGACCTGTGGGTGTCCCTCTCCCTGCCTGCTTGTTCATCTCACCTGTGAATCTGGATCACAAAGGGAGCAAAAGGAGCCCAAGAGAGCTTGGGCTCCATTTGTTCCTGTGTGTGTGTGTGTGTGTGTGTGTGTGTGTTGTGTGTGTGTGTGTGTGTGTGTGTGTGTGTGTGTGTGTGTGTGTGTGGGTGTGTGTGTGTGTGTGTGTGTGTGTGTGTGTGTGTGTGTGTGTGTGTGTGTGTGTTTTACATGAAGGGTGCGTGTGTTGTGTTTGTCTCACCTCTTTCTTGGATTACTTACTTCACTAAAGCATCCAATGACCATAAAAAAATACTGTCACAAAACATTATAACAGCTAATATAATGCATTATGACAAGGATTATAATGTATTACAACAATGGGAACTAAAATAAACTATAATCCATGCAAAATAATATGCAGGAGTTATGAAGTATTACTATATTTGACCTTAGAAGTTGTCGCTTTAAAATGTGTTATCATTATGTTTATAAGGCATATACAGTATAATGCCTATGAGTGCTTATAATTATGGTTATGCAGTACTATAAGAAGGTTAAAGGCATTATAATTTTGCTTATAAAGACATGGGTATCATTGATATTTCGTTAAAGGCCCTAAAGACACATCTTCTCAATCGGCTTTCTTCCTATAAGCAATGGGAGTCTTTCATGAACACAATGTGATGTCAAATATTTAATTGTTTTGGTTATTTTTCTTGAAAACTGTTCACGTATTAGGGAGGCAGGGCCGGCCCTAGACATGTTGGTGCCCTAGGCGAGATTATGATTTGGTGCCCCCCCCCCTCCAAGCAATACACAATAGAATATATAAAGAATAAATGAAAAATCTCTACAAAAGACCAATACACTACAACAACTGAAACGTATTGACATGTTGGTTGTATACATAAAGAAGGTTTCAAATGTATTAATTATTGTATGAACATGTTTTAATTGGGGGGTGGACGTCACATCCTCTAGGGGGGATTTGTTTTAACATTTTAAAGTAAAATGCTTCAATCTGGTGCACTTTGAGCAGAATTACTAGAGACTAGATCTAGGGGGTACAACTCTAAAACACCCGTATGAAAAAGATCGGTTTACATTTTAATAATCAAATAAGTATGTGAACATAGCCAATAACAAATAAATGTAACATATTTTATTTTTTGTTGTTCATTCATATCTTATTTTACCTAGTTAACATTTATTTATGCATTTTTTTTCATATCTCCAGTTTTAAACGATATTTTTGGTTTACTGTCCTATAGTATGCATTGGAATGATTTCAAACCTGTTGTTATTTATCCTAATAATTATAAAGGTGTGCCTTGGAAAGATTTGTTTACATAAATTGTGACCAAACCGTTTGAGACCCACTGAGATAACTTAGACTAAAGTGAACTATCGAAACACTCAGAGTCCTTTACCTCACTGAGCTGTAGTTATCAGCCTCAATCCAACAACAATCCGCGGTACCGATGCGCGCCCTCTCTCTCTCTCTCTTGCTCGTTTGGAGGCTCGCTCGCACTTTGGCTGTGAGCTGTGGGCGCCTGATAAGTCAACATCCCCTACTTTCATCACTTACAGCGCACATCATGACCAATGAGGGCACGAGATAAGTTTGTGCACAGATGGAAGGCTGACAGGCAGGTAGGCCATCCAGTTATTTTAGCCGGGCCGGCTAAAATGATTGGTTGTGCTTTTTACAGTACTACGGCTTCCACAGATGACATTTTTTTATGGATTTTTTGTCAA